ATGAGAATCCTCAAGGAGAAAACAGTTCAAGAAATCTGGGAAATTTTTGAAAAGTGAGATTATAAAAGCCCAGTCTACTACAATACCAACGAAGAAGAAAAATAACATCTCTCAAAAGAAACCAGCATGGCTGCACAAAGAACTCTCTGATAAACTGAAAGACAAGGACAAGTATAAAAAGTGATAAAGGGGGCACATAGCTAAGCCAGAATATCATCTCTAAAAAGAGAATTCTGAACTCCATTAACACTCGCTTTATTATATTTCCTGGCTATAAGAGTCACAAATATATGAAGTCACTACAGGTAGTCCTCAACTTACAACAACAATTCGGATCAGAATTTCAGTTGCTAAGCAATTGGTGGCAAAGTATAAATACATCCCTTAATGACAACAGTGTCTGCAGTGTGAGGACTTCCGGTGGATCTGCGCGGCGATGGTGGCTACTTTTTAGCCGTCCTCCTGGGTAAGTGTAATGAATCGCTATGAACAGCGTACATCAGCTGTTCAGCGGTTCAAAATCCCCCTCCCGGGCAAAGGGGGGGAAAGAGGGTTATCTGAATAGTGGTAGAGCCTCTTATGTACCCCCAATTTCTTTTTTTGGGGGGTGACAGAGTGCTCCCACGGAGTTCAGACTGTCTCCGCTTCCCAGCTGCTTTTGTCCCTAGGGACAAAACAAGCCGTTGCAATCACCTCCGCACTTAAAGGGACCTGGTGAGTTTTTTTTAGAAGCGGACAGAGTTGATTAGAGGATTTACTTTTTGCTTTCTTTGATTTTATATGTATTTTAAGTTTAAAGGTTTATTTTCATGTTTATATTTTCTCCTTTTACTTTTTACTTTGTGCTGAAAGGGAAAGTAAAATGGCGATCGGCAGACTTTCTAGCGTTTTTTTTTCTGGGAAGCTAGAATGGCGATCGGCTTCTTTTACTTTCTCTTTTTTTTTCTTTTTAATGATTGGATGGATCTTAGAAGCATTATTATTTTTGTTGTTTAACTTTTTAAACATGATTGTTTTTGTTTGACTTTTTTGCTTTGTCTTTTGTATTTTTAAAAGGCAGGCTTTTTGGTGTTTTCTCTCCCCCCCCTTTTTTTCTTTTTAATGATTGGAACGGATATTTTAATTCCTTTTTTTTTCTTCTTCTTTTCTAACTCCCTTTTTTATCATTATAAAGATTTTCTTTTGAGGGAGTTATGATTTTTTTGAAGGAATTTTTGTAATTCTCAAGAAGGAGTAAAGTTTTTTTTTTTTTTTTAAGATGGCTCCAAAGCGTCCAGGGACTTTTACAGTTCTTAAATCAATAGTTTCACCCTCTTCTGTGGTCCAACCAGCAATTGTGAAGGATTTGCAAGACATGATGGGAAATGTTACAATTCAAATTAGGGCAGAAATGAAAAAGATTTTAGAGGAAAATAACAAGATTTTGAGGCAAGACATAGTTTTGGCTTTAAAAGGAGTTGCTTCTGTTATTGAAAAGTTGAATTCCCGTGTGGAAGAAGTAGTTGAAAAAGTGGAATTAATGGAGGGAAAAATTGAAAGTATGGAAAAGGAAATGGAAAATGAGATTCTTATGCTTCAATATTGACAAATGGAATATGCCTTAAGAATTAGAGGCTTGGGAGAGTCCTTGCAAGGAGATCTGAAAGAGATGGTTGCAAAGGACTTTGCTGTGATTTTGAATAAAGAAAAAAAGGAAATACTTAGTGAAATTGAAAAATTATTTCGAGTTAATTCTGTGGTGGCAGTGCAAAAGAATTTGCCAAGAGATGTGGTAATTTACTTTGGGAAAAGATCTCTACGCAATGAAATTATACAAGCTTTTTATAAGAAGAGATTTCAAATTGCTTCACAAGATGTTATAATTTTAAAGGAGATCCCATCTAAAATTTTAAGAAGAAGAAAGGAGTTTGCTTTTTTAGCGAATGAACTTAAAAAGAGACGAATTTCGTTCAGATGGGATGTTCCGATTGGAATGGTGGTGAACTACCTGGGGATATCTTATAGACTTAATACTGCTTCTCAAGCAAAAGATTTTTATACTTCGGTCTTGGGGATATGTTCATCGTCATCTATTAAGTTTAAAACCTTGGAAGAAAAGAATGTAGAATTACAGTTTGAAGACCCTAAAATTGGGGAACCTTTGCCTGAGAGATCTCAACACGTTCAGATTGAGGAGCAGAAGATAACTTGTGTATCACATAACTGTAAAGAAAAGCAACAACAGAAGAAGATTAAGGAAGTTTCACATCTAGTGGTTTCTGAATCTGTGGGAGAAGCAAGACTTATAAAGCCTTTGGAGCAATCTTCAAGGATGGAATTGTTGTCTGAAATGAAAAATGGGAAATCTCAGCTTGAGGAGTTTCAACAAGTTGAGAGGAAGGGGCAGAGGACAATTCGTGCAACATATAATTGTAAAGAAAAAGACAAACAGAATAAGGAGTTTAAGGAATCCCCACATGTATTGGCTTCTGAGTTGTTGGGAGATCCAGAAATTTTGGAGCAATCTTTAAAGCCAGATCTCAAAGCACTTCTCTTGAGTTTGATAAGGTTAAAGACGAATATTCAAAATTAGAGAATGATAAGGATGGAGAATGAAAATGGACAATCGAGATTGATAATAATAATATCAGTATGATAATGGATGGAGAATGAAAATGGACAATTGAGACTGATAAGGATTGTGGTTTTTTTGTGGATGGAATTTGTTATTGGTGAAGATTTAAATGTTAAATGTGTTTATTGTGGATGGAATTTCTTATTGATAAAGATTTAAATGTGTATAAGGGATTTTTTAAGTTTTAAGTAATGTTTAAATTTGTGTTTTGGGGGAGTTTATAAAAATGATAATAATATTAGCATGATATTAGAAGGTTTGGAGTATACTATAATGTGTTTAGTGTCTGGGTTTATTTATTTTTTTTTTCTAATTATTATTACTATTTTTAAGATGGAATTTGATTAAATGTGTATAAGGTGATTCTAATGTTTAAAGTTTTAAGTAATGTTTAAATTTGTGTTTATGTTTAAATTTGTGTTTTGGAGGGAGTATAACTCGTTTAACTAAATGTATTTAGATTTGTTTATGATTTATATTAGATTTTATATTATAGTTATAGATGTTCAAAGAAAGTAGTGCTTAAAATTGTGTTTTGGGAGGAATTTATGTAGAATGGTGGATAATATTATAAGCATGATTAGAAGATGTTCAGAGTATATTATAATGTGTTTAATGATTATTATTTTTTAGAGATAATCTATTTAATTTAGAATATTATGATTTGTTTAGGATTTATATGTGTTTTAAGTTTTATATGTGTTTTAAGTTTTTTCTTTTTTTCTTTTTCTTTTTTGAAATATTTTGGATAAGCCCGTAATCAACTCTGGGAGGTCCAGGGGAGGGTTAGGGAGGTTTGGGGAGTTGGGGGAGGGTACGGGAGGCTGGGGGGGTTTGGGGAGGGGATTTGTCTTGTAAAATTTGAAAAATTTTCAATAATAATAAAAAAAACAGTGTCTGCAGTGTGAGTTCAGGAGAGTGCATGAGGCTGCAAGGAAGTGTGAGTTGAGAAGAGGAGGGAGGGGCTGCATGAGAGGTGCTGCACAATTTGCGTTTGTGTGTGAGAGTATGAGGGCTTGCACAAGAGGTGCTGTGTGGGTCAAATAAGGTGCACAGGTGTGCATGAGAGTGCACAGGGTTACGCAAGAGGTCCTGCATGGGTTGAGGACGGGTATGCAAGAATGTGTGGGGATGTATAGGTGTGCATGAGAGGTGCTGTGCAGATCAGAGAGAGAGAGAGAGAGAGAGAGCACAAGTGTGCAAGGGTGTGTGTGTGAGGTGCCACGTGTGCCTTGGAGGGTGGATGGGAATGCACAGGAGGCACCAGGCAGTTTGGGGAGGTTGCACAAGGGTGCAATGAGGAAGGTGTGTGTGGGATGTGCAAATGTCCAATCTAGCACAGAAAGGCTAGGAGAGGGTGCACAGGTGGGGGTTATTTACCCCAGCAACTTGCAAGCTTCCCTGCTGGCTTCCTCACTGATTTTCTGGGGAAGCCAACCAGAAAGTTTGCAGAGGGATTGCGGGGTGCTTGGCTACCAGTTGAAAGTGCACATGGGTTGCCAAGCACCCAGATCATGATATGAGATTATGGGGATGTTGGAATGGCAGAGACCTCTAAGGCCTGTAACTGCCATAACCTGGAAGGGTTGCTGACTAAATGGTTGTAGGTCAAGGATTGCCTGTAGATACCAGATAGGGATGAAATATGGCTGTCTCATCTCAGAATCTGTTGTTCTGTTACCAAATGCATCGTGGTGAAGATGCTATTTATAAAATCAGGGAACTCATGGGTTTTGTGTCACCAGCCCTTCAGCATCTCTGAACTCATCAGATGCCCATGAAGAGGGAAGATTCTAGTAACAATTCAGTCACATTGACCCCCCAGGAAGGCATCCTGTCACCAGCTGCAGCCTTATTGGGAATCCTCAGAGATGTGATTGGTCAGTTATTCTATGGGGTTCTCACCAGTGGTTGGATTCAGCCAGTTCACACCACTTCAGCAGAACAGGTAGCTAATTTTTTGTTGCCCAGGCCCAGAATAGACTTCCGGAAACAGAATCCACACAGAGAATTGGTTGTTCACATATTTGAATCCCACCACTGGTTCACACTCTCTACCACACAGGATATTCATTGTATAAAAAACAGAGAAATTTCTACACCTCCCCCCCCAGATAGAAGTCATGTGAGGATGGGTGGCATATATTGTGCTGATAGAGCTGCCAATGAGAGATGATCTTTGGCCCAGCAGAGTAGCCCAGGTGAATGAGAGTGAAGCTGGAGAAGAACACCAAGAGGAGAGGAGAGCGTGCACTAGGATTTGTGTGTTCAGCGACTGTTTCAGTAGATTGAAAACGTCTGCTAATAGAGGCCTTCCCAGCTCTCTTAAAGCCATATTGTGCTTTGGGACTGCAGATACTGAGTTGCAAAAGCTTCTGTGGCTTACCTGGGATGGATAGGTGATCACAGAGACCTGGAAGCCAATAAGGAGGGTTCCACTCATTCCTAATACAATCACCATTTGGAACAGTTGCCGGTACTGCACCTGGAAAGACAACACCCCGTCTACATAGAGAAAAGTAAAGTCTTACACTTAGGCAAGAAAAACCAAAAGGATGCATATAGATTGGGTGAAACCAGTCTTAATACCAGCAACTGTGAGAGGTATCTTGGACTCTTAGTGGACAATCAATTAAATATGAGCCAAAAGCGTGCCGTGGCAGCCCAAAAAGCCAATGCAATCTTAAGTTGCATTAACAGAGGGGTTCAATCAAAATCGCGTGAGGTACTAATACCACTCTATAAAGCCTTAGTAAACCACACCTAGAATACTGCAACCAATTTTGGTACCCACACTATAAAAAAGATGTTGAGACTCTAGAAAAAGTGCAGAGAAGGTGCCAAATAGTCTCTAATGTTTCTTTTATTTCAGGAATGCCAGCAGTTTCACATAGCCTCCAAACAATGGAGCTTGCTCCCTTTTCCCCTGTAGGGGTCTCCCAATACCCAGAGTTATTCTCAGTCTCACCATGCTTGCAGCCAAAAGTCCTTCAAGCAAGCTGGCTATTGTTTAACATAAGGCACGCCCACTCTGATCTGCGGAAAAACTCTGGCAAAAATTCCAAGGAGAAGTGTCAGGAGTTCCAAATACAAGTGGCTGACCAGCAGGAAAATGAATAGTTGTCTGCCACACCTCTTCATCTCCGCCCCTTCCCTTTAATCCACAACTGAGGATGGGAATACATTAGCAGCGGTGACTCTTCCACCCCATAACCTCTTGCTGTTCTCCTCAGCTTCTGCCGCACCCATGCATCAATCACTGGCCCTTCTCTCCTGACTCAACCTTTCCATCTGGGGGCTGGCAGACAGCCCAGGCTCTGCCTCTGTTCCTGGCTGTGACAGCTCCATTCCTTTGTAACCCAGCGCCCATTCCCGTGCTTCCTCATCTGAATCGGCCACTGAGTTCTCCAGCGGCCAACAGGCCATAACAAAAAGACTGAACTGCTATCTGTCCGAAATGCTGTAAGGTCTGTTGCTTGGGCTGGAGTAGATGACTGCAAGGTCCCTTCCAGCTATTCTGTTCTGTTCTGTTCTGTTCTATTCTGTCATTTAGAAGTTCCCTTTCATACTCCGTTGTTGAAGCAGCAGAGGAAGAAGCTCCGCAGGTGCAGAGGTGCAGAGCGGATGCAGCAGAGGATGAGGTGGAAGCATGAGAGCCAGGCACAAGTCTTCAGATCAACAGGTTCATCTACCAAAAGAAGGCAGTCAGGATATCCTCCAACTAAAATGTCTGTCCATGGCCTAGGCAAAGTCATTTGCAGAGAAAACAGGATTTTTGTTACAAAGTCAACACCCACACCCACACCCACCCACACTCACACCCACACAGTGCAGCAGGAAACCCACACCAGCCTGCAAGGTCTGTCAGAATCCAATCATATTTCATCTTTAATTATCAAATATAGAAACTCCCAATTCTGCCTTCTTTGGATTCTGCCATAAGAGGGAGAGAAGGGGGAGAACAAAAGGGCTTTATGGCCCTCACTTCCTTCAGTAGACTTCAAAGAGCTGAATGCTGAATGTGTGTTTATTGTAACCTATTGTAACCTCAAAGCGTTAGCACCAGAGAACATTAGCATTAACAAAGAAGAGTATTTGCCTTTCATGTAGTTATCTGAAGTCTCCATCCAGACGGAAGAAAGAAGAAAGGGGTGGAATTGTGATACTTGAAACTATCACTGGAAGGGGGGTTGATTGGGTGGGACTACTGGGGAACCCCTTAAAACCTTGAATGGGAGAGCTTGGACCCCAAGTCCTGTCTAGCATGCCTGCAACCATTTTCTCTTAATAAAGGATTCCTGTTGGAAGAATTATTCCAAGAGTTCTGTCTTCTTAAGATGCAAAGTGGGGTGGGTCCTTACATTAGACAGGACTTGGGGTCCAAGTAACCAGTAACCACAAGAACCCAAGCCAAAATAAAACCAACAACTGGACAGCCAAACTGGGATTGAATTCAGAAAAAGTTTGGAAACAGATGATTGGTTCCAGAAAAACAAACATGTGTGCACAATGAGAGACGGATTGCCTTGGGTAGGGGAAAAGTTATATATACCAACAACTCAAAGACTAACTTTCATGCAACTTTGCCATGACACAAAATCAGCAGGGCATTTTGGATTTGTAAAAACTTTACACTTAATTAAACGGCAATTTTGGTGGCCATCAATAAAAAAGGACATAGAAAGTTATGTTGCCAGCTGCCCAACCTGTGCATCAGCAAAGAGGTTGCAAGGGAAATCGCCAGGGCTGTTACAACCAGTGGCAAGTCCCTCAGCCCCCTGGAGGGAAATAGCCATGGATTTTATAGTGGAATTGCCTGAAAGCAATGGGAATACTGTTATCTGGACAGTCACGGACCTATTTTCCAAACAGGTGCACTTTATCCCTTGCCAAAAAATTCCCACTGCAAAGGCCTTAGCAAAACTTTTCATCCAGCACATTTACAGATTGCACGGAGCACCCCAACGCATCATCTCTGATAGGGGAGTGCAATTTACGTCTGCATTTTGGAAGGAATTTTTATCCCTTTTAGGGACCACTCAGGGATTGACATCTAGCCACCACCCTCAAGGAGATGGTCAAGCGGAACGGTGCCAGTCGGTACTTGAGCAATATTTGAGATGTTTTTTAAATTTCCAACAGAGTGATTGGACGGACTTACTTCCTTTTGCAGAAGTTGCCTACAATAATGCAGTCCACTCCAGCACAGGCTACACTCCTTTTCAAATAGCCAACGGCCAAAGTTTCAACCCTATGCCAGAGTTAACCCCAAAAGAACCAACGATCCCTTCACTGAAAGAATGGATGGAAAACCTACAAAACACCTGGCCAATAGTCAGAAAATCACTAGATGAAGCTAGGCGGGCATACAAAGCACAAGCCGATAAAAAAAGGGTTGAGCCTACACCATTCATTATAGGAGAAATTGTGTACTTATCTACAAAATACCTAAAGTCCCTACAGCCCTGTAAAAAACTTGGACCAAAATATATAGGACCTTTTCCAATTAAAAGGATCATAAATCCAGTAACAGTAGAATTAGAATTACCCAAAAACCTCAGGCAAATACACCCAATTTTTCATTGCAGCTTGCTGAAAAGAGAGCATCAGTCACCTCTACGGCCAAAAATCCCCCCCCACCACCTCCAATCATGGTGGAGGGGGAACAACACTTCGAAATAAAAGAGATCCTTGACTCTAGGAGATATCATGGAACAACTCAGTACCTAGTTGCCTGGAAACACCTCCATGCCTCACAAAATGAGTGGGTCCATAAACGTCACGTCAGAGCCCCGAAGCTATTGAAGAAGTTTCACACAGAGTATCCTAACAAGCCTAACTAAATTTTTTACTTGTGTTTTCTTTCAGGTGGATCTCTCTTATTGTTAAGAGGGGCCGGATGTCAGAATCCAATCATATTTCATCTTTAATTATCAAATATAGAAACTCCCAATTCTGCCTTCTTTGGATTCTGCCATAAGAGGGAGAGAAGGGGGAGAACAAAAGGGCTTTATGGCCCTCACTTCCTTCAGTAGACTTCAAAGAGCTGAATGCTGAATGTGTGTTTATTGTAACCTATTGTAACCTCAAAGCGTTAGCACCAGAGAACATTAGCATTAACAAAGAAGAGTATTTGCCTTTCATGTAGTTATCTGAAGTCTCCATCCAGACGGAAGAAAGAAGAAACGGGGTGGAATTGTGATACTTGAAACTATCACTGGAAGGGGGGTTGATTGGGTGGGACTACTGGGGAACCCCTTAAAACCTTGAATGGGAGAGCTTGGACCCCAAGTCCTGTCTAGCATGCCTGCAACCATTTTCTCTTAATAAAGGATTCCTGTTGGAAGAATTATTCCAAGAGTTCTGTCTTCTTAAGATGCAAAGTGGGGTGGGTCCTTACAAGGTCTCTCTTTTTGATCTCCAGCCTCCCATGCTATCTGCTATAAATAGGGAATTCCACGAATATGGGTGGTTAAAAGAAAGTCAACATGATGGTCACAATGATACAATCAAGGGTCTGGCCACTTTTGAATGTATGACACACATTAAAAAAGGAGTGGAGCCTTAATTGCACTATCACAACCACCATATTGACTTTTTGGACCATGCCCTGTGGTCATCTAAAACATACATGATACAATGTTAGAGTACAGATAATGAAACACAATCATAGGTTTCTGTTCTACAAGCACCCCCACAAGCACCATTCATGGGCACCCAAGACACATTCCAGAAAGGTGGGCAACAAGCGAGAATTCAGGGGCACCCTTTCCCCAAGTGTCAGGGTGTTTGGGGAGGGAGTTTCGCTATCACAGCTCCTTCTGGAATGGGGAGGAAATGCCTCCCACAACTGGGCTAGGAGTGGGGTAGAACAGGGCATTGCCCAAGGATAGGTTTTAAAACAAATAACTCCCATTTCTTCCTTTTAAGCAGTCTTCTTTGGCCCAGGAGATTTTAGAGCATGTGATGCTCACTTACGGATCCTGGCGCTATCAAATGAAAGAGGCCATTCTGGATAGACATGGAGTCACAGAAGCCTTGAAGGAAAATAGGAGCATGTGCAGGAAGAGGAAGGAGGGGAATGGATCTGGGAAGGATGCAAGGTCGTCCGCAGAAGCCCTGGGCATTTGGTTAAGAAGGCTCTGAAAAGGAACTCTCAGAGGCTAAAAAAGAAAAGTCAAAGCAGGCTGGGTTCAATGCGGGAGAAAGTGAGGAAGAAATAATGGGTGAGGACCTTCCGTTTTGCACCAGTCCCCTCCCAGAAGAAGATGGAGCCCTGGCTGGTCATGTTCTGCCCCTGGGAGAAGAAGGAACGGCTGCAGTGGCTAGGCAAGGACGGGCCCAAGGGAGCTTAGAGAGATGAATGCAGGTCCTGGGGCCAGATCAGTTATATTCCAGGACATCAAAGAAACTACAGAGCTGTGCTCAGGAATCACTGAGAACTCCTAGAGGACTGGAAGGCCCCAGGCAGCAAATCCCCATCTT